CGCACAGCCACGCCCACCCGCCCCCCCCCCCCCCCCCACACACACACACACACACACACACACACACACACAAAAAAAAAAAAAAAAACGGGGGGGCGGCATGAAAACAAAGCCGATGATGATCAGGAGGAAGAGGAATGAGGGACACACGCGGTGAGAGACAACACTGGGCGGGAAAACAAAAAACAAAAACGATGAATATGCGCGATGAATAGACTAATGATCCATGTCGTTCCAACCGCCTAGTAAATCCATCCAGAAAGCGCCAGGGGGGGGGGGGGGCCCGCGCGACCCGTTGTTTGCGCGCGGATCCCCCAATAATTGCGTTTGTGCCGTCGTTTGTTCTTCGAAGGGTCTGAGTCTAGATTTAAAACGTCGCCGCGCCCCAGCGCGCCCCCCGCCGCCCCCTCCGCCTGCCCCGCCCCCGCCGCGCTCGCGTCTCTGCGCGTCCCCGGTCACGGGGCCCATCGGTCCTCAAGAACCCTTGGGCCGAGATCTGCGCGCCCCCCCCCCCCCCCGCGCCCCTCCCCCCCGCCCCCATCCAGCCTGGATGCGCGCGGGGGAAGCGGGGCGAGACAAGCCGCCCTCCCCGCGCGCCCCCCCCCCCCCCCTTCCGCCCCACCCCCTTACTACTTCCCCCCCCACCCACCCACCCCCAGTTCCCAGCCCCTCCCCGCCCCCTCGCCGCGCGCGGGCGGCCCCGCTGGGGCCCGCGGTGGAGTTCCCTACGGGGCCACGAGACGCAAGACTGAAGGTGGCAGACGCGGCGCCCTTCGCTAAAGTTCCCGATGAGGCCACAAAACGCTGCGCAGGTCGAGGGAGCGCAGGCGGGCAGTGCCAATGGAACAGCCGGTTGAACCCATAGCCACGAAACGCCGTGCTGGGCGGCGGCCGACGCACGCGGGCGGCGCTTGCAGGGGTTTCGGTGGAGCTTCCTTTGGGGCAGCGAAGCGCAGTGCTGGAAGGGGGGGGCGCGCGCGGGCGGTGCCGCTAGGGCCTTTCGGTGGGGCTCCCGTTGGGGCCGCGAAGCGCTGTGCTGGGTTGTGGCTGACGCATGCTGGCGGCCTACTGGGACCTGCGGTGGGCCCCCTTTGTGGGGCCACGAAACGCTGTGCTGCGCGGTGGCTGACGCGCGCGGGCGGTGCCACTGTTCCCTTTCGGCGGGGCTCCCCTTGGGGCCACGAAGCGATGCACTGGGCGCTGGCTGACGCATGCGGGCGGCGTGCTGGGACCTGCGGTGGGGCCCCCCTTGTGGGGCCACGGAACGCTGTGCTGGGTGGTGGCTGACGCGTGCGGGCGGTCCACCTGGGACCTGCAGAAGTACTCCCTTTGGGGCCACGAAACGCCGTGCTGGGTGGTGGTTGACGCACGCGGACGGTCTACCGGGACCTGCGGTGGGGCCCCCTTGCCGGGCCACGAAACGCTGTGCTGGGCGGTGGCTGACGCGCGTGGGCGGCCCCGCTGGGGCCTGCAGTCGAGCTCCCTATAGGACCACGAAGCGCTGTACTGGGCGCTGGCTGACGCATGCGGGCGGCGTGCTGGGACCTGCGGTGGGGCCCCCTTTGTGGGGCCACGGAACGCTGTGCTGGGTGGTGGCTGACGCGTGCGGGCGGTCCACCTGGGAACTGCAGAAGTACTCCCTTTGGGGCCACGAAGCGCCGTGCTGGGTGGTGGCTGACGCATGCGGGCGGTCTGCTGGGACCTCCGGTGAGGCCCCCTTGCCGGGCCACGAAACGCTGCGCTGGGCAGTGGCTGACGCATGCGGGCGGCCCCGCTGGGACCTGCAGTGGAGCCCCCTATAGGGCCACGAAACGCTGTACTGGGCGCTGGCTGACGCATGCTGGCGGTGCCTTTCAGGCCGTCGGTGGAGCTCCCTATGGGGCCACGAAGCGCTGTGCTGGGTGGTGGCTGACGCACGCGGCGCTCCCACTGTGACCATCGGTGGAGCTCCCTATGGGACCACGAAAGGTATGCTGGGTGGCGGCTGGCGCATGCGGGCGGTGCCACGTGGGCCGTTCGGTGGGGCTCCCTTTGGGGCCACGATGCGCCGTACTGGGTGGTGGCTGACGCATGCGGGCGGCCCCACTGGGGCGTGCGGTGGGGCGCCCTACGGGGCCACGAAACCTTCCTGGGTGGTGGCTGACGCATGCGGGCGGTCCCACTGGGATCCTCGCTGGAGCACCCTATGGGGCCACGAAGCGCTGCACTGGGCGGTGGCTGACGCATGCGGGCGGTCCCACTGGGGCCGTCGGTGGCCACGAAGCGCTGTACTGGATGTTGGCTGACGCATGCGGGCGGCACCACTGGGGCGTTCGGGGGGGGGCCCTTTGTGGAGCCACGAAGCGCTGTACTGGGTGGCGGCTTACGCATGCGGGCGGTGCCATTTGGACCTTCGGAAGAGCTCCCTGTGAGGCCACGAAACGCTGTACTGGGTGATGGCTGACGCATGCTGGCGGTGCCTTTAAGCCGTCGGTGGGGCTCCCTATGGAGCCACCCAGCGCTGTACTCTGTGATTTCTGACGCATGCGGGCGGCCCCACTGGTGTGGAGCTCCCTATGGGACCACGAAACGCAATACTGGGTGGCGGCTCGCGCATGCGGGCGGTGCCACTGGGACCTGCGGTGGGGCTCCCTACGGGGGAAGCGCTGTACTGGGTGGTGGCTGACGCATGCGGGCGGTGCCAATGGGGCCTTCGATGAAGCTCCCTATAGGGCCGCAAAACGTGTGAGGGGTGTGCCACAGTAAGGGGAGTGACGGGGGGAAGGAGGAGGGGAGGAGGGAGGAAGGAGGAAAACGGGGACGGTTGCTTCAAAACGAGAACACAACACCACAGCATGGTTGGGACCAAAAGGTTCGATCCGCCTCATCCGCCGCCTCCGCCTACGCCTACGCCTCGGTCACGGCCTCGCCTCCGTCTCCGTCTCCGTCTCCGCCTCCTCCTCATTTTCTTCCTTCGTCCTCCGCCACCTCCGCCTCCTCCCCCTCCTCCTCCAACTCCTCCAACTCCACATGGTCCTCCACCTCCTCCTCCTCCTCCTCTCCTCCTCCTCCTCCTCCTCCTCCTCCTCCTCCTCCTCCTCCTCCTCCTCCTCCTCCTCCTCCTCCTCCTCCTCCTCCTCCTCCTCCTCCTCCTCCTCCTCCTCCTCCTCCTCCTCCTCCTCCTCCCCTCCCCCTCCTCCTCCCTCCTCCTCCTCCTCCAACTCCGCCTCCTCCTTCTCCTCCTCCTCCTCGTCCTCCTGTTCCCTCCTCCCCCAACTCCTCCTCCTCCTCCTCCTCCTCCTGCTCCTGCTCCTCCTCCTCCTCCTCCTCCTTCTCCTCCTCCCCCTTTCCACCTGCTCCCCTTCCTCCCCTCCTCCCCCATCCTCCTCCTCCTCCTCTTCCTCCTCCTCCTCCTCCACCTCCTCCGCCCCCTCCAACTCCACCCAATCCTCTTCCTCTCCCTCCTCCGCATCCTCCTCCTTCTCCTCCTCCTCCTCCTCCTGCTCATTATCCTCCTCCTCCATATCCTGCGTCTCCTTCGCCTCCTCCTCCTCCTCCTCCTCCTCCTCCTCAGCAGCATCAGCATCAGCATCAGCATCCTCATCTTCATCCTCATCATCACCAACAACAACAACATCAGCAGTATCATCAACATCCGCAGGCTCAGCAGCAGCAGCGACATCATTAATATCTACATCAACATCATCATCATCATCATCATCATCATCATCATCATCATCATCATCATCATCATCCTCGTCATCATCATCATCAACATCATCAGCCTCACCAGCAGCATCAGCATCAGCATCATCATAAGCATCATCATCACGTCCATGATCAGCATCTTAATGATCAGCATCGCCATCATCATATCAATCATCATCAGCAGCAGCATCATCATAATCATAATCATCATCATCATAACCATCAGCGTCATCATCATCATCACCATCACCATCGTCATCATCATCATCGTCATAATTACCTTCAGCATCAAAAGCATCATCAGCAGCAACATCATCGTCACTATCATCACCACCCTCGTCATCGCATTGTCCTCGCCGTCGTCGTCGTCATCATCATCGTCGTCATCGGCATCATCAGCAGCAGCAACAGTATCATAATTCGAGTCAGCATCAGCATCATCATCATAATCATAATCAGCATCCTCACCATCATCATCAGCATGAGCATCATCACCATCACCAGATCAACTATAGTCACCATCATCATCACCACCATCATCATCAGCATCATAGCAATCATCACCACCAACATCACCATCATCAGCATCATCATCACCATTACCAACATCATCATCAGCATCGGTATAATCGTCATTGTCAACAACATCAGCAGCATAATGATCATCACCATCAACATCGTTGTCGCCGTCGTCGTCACCATCATCACCACGATCACCATCACCATCCTACCATCATCATCATCAACATCATCATAATCGACCGCGTGATCCGAAGCATCAGCATGGTGATAATCTTCAGCATCATCATCATCATGCGCATCATCGTCATCATTATCAACATCATCATCATCAACATCATCATCATCCTGATCATCAACACCGTCAGCATCGTCATCACCATGATCATCACCGTCACCATCATCACCATATTCATCAACAGTGTCATCATTACTACGACCAGCATCATTAACATCATCAGCTTCATCATCAACAACATTATCATTAGACCCATCATCAACACAATCACCATCATCCTCATCATGATCAGCATCATCAGCATCATCAACGTCATCATCACCATCACCAGTACCATCACCTTGGACATCGCCATCGCGAATCACGTACATATCATCATCACCATCATCATCATCATCAACATAACCAGCAGCAGCAGCAACGTCACCGTCATGATCAGCATCAGCAGCATCATCACTGTTATTAGCAGTAACAACACCAACATCATCGTCATGATCGTTCCCTTCTGTCCCCCTCCTCCCCTCCGTCTTACTCTGCCCCTCTCCGTATCCCTGGCCTCCGGTCATCTTGAGGTACGCGTCCCACCTGCGGGCGACCAGCAGAGCGGTGGGGGTGGCGCACAGGGGCACGAAGGCGGAAATGGCGAGAAGCGGCACCGTCGAAGGGCCTGCTGAAACCCGGACTTGCGCGCAAAGAGGAGGGCGAGGAGGACGGGGAGGAAAGGGGGGGCGGAGCGGCGAGGAGAACGATGAGAACGATGAGAATGGGGGGGCGAAAAGGGCGAAAAGGAACGGGAAGAACGGGGACGAGGAGGACGAGAAAAACGGAAGAGGACGTGAGGCGAAGAGGACGAAGAGGACGAAGTCAAAAACAACATATGAAGATCGGATGTGATACTTTTCGGGATGCTGAATACGGGATGGAAACAATGAGCAAGTCTCCTACAAATATGGCGCGGGCACGTCCCACATGGCCGTGGAGAAGGGCAGGAAAGGAAGGCTGCATATACAAGGATACCTTTTCGAGTCTGATGCTCAAGCGATTATGTTGTGCCTCGTCGGCCCACGCGCGCTGGTCGTGAACGAAGCAGTGAAACAACGAGCACATATTCGCGTGAGCATGTTCTCTTAATCGCGACCTTCGGAAAACTAGCAAACAACAGACACTGAATGAACACGGCCCCAATCATCTGCAAGCTCTCTACTTTCATATGCCGCATGCTCCAAATATATAGCTCCTGTAACCAGCCCTCTCACATACATGTTTCACCGCGTAGCGTTCACGGAAATAGTTCGCACGATGCGAGCGCATGCCTCGTCCTTTGATGACTTAATCATCCTGGTCGCCCTCGCGTGTCATGGTGAGGTCATTCTATCGCGGGTTTGGTACGGTGTTGATGTGCTTCTCCTCGTTCAGCTTGATGTTGTTGTGGCCGTGATTGAGCTCGCCGCCCATGATGCTCAGGATGAAACGTCAGCCTATACTCCATTCGTCATGGGGTGGGCTCTCGTGTCTCTGGTGCTGCACCACAATATGTCGTCGACCTGCTTGGTGCGAAATTGTCACCACCACCAGAGGTGACCAGCCATGCTGTTCTCCGATGGAGGTCGAACGCGTTCAATGGCAAGGGCCGACAAGACGGACATGCAGTCGATTAAAAATTAAGCTGGCACTGCATAGCACCCTTCCTCGGTGAGCCCCTGATCTTCTCGGCCGAGGCGGATCCGCGCACCGCATCATCTCGTGGAGCGGGAGGAGGTGCGTTCGCAGGCCGTAAGCTGCACCGCAGGCAGCGAGTGAACCTGAGCAAAATAATGATCGGCACACTAGCTTGTGCGATAGGCTAACGTCGTCGACCAAGCAGCATACCCATGTGCCAGTATTGCTGCACTCGCCCAGACACATGCACACTGCTCCTCTCACGCCGTAACCAAGATCCTCCCCCTCCCGCTTGAAAGACCCGTCGCTGCGTGCGCATAGTCGCCCGGCGCATTCCATCCCTGGGAAAGCGACGCGCGCCTTGATCTTATGCGCGGCCACAACGGCGGAGTTGAGCACCATCGCGCGACGGATGAGCACTTTGTTCTCGGCCCATCGCAGTGCGACGACGCACGCGGCGACGCGGCGTTGCGCGAGCAAAGCGCATGCTGCTGCTCCGAGGAGGGTGACAAAGAAGCCTGGAAGCTGATCTTCTGCCGGCTCGTCGACGCTCGCCTTTGCCAGGCCGATGTGCCCGACAGGGGTTAGGGAGTCAATGCAATAGTCTTGGTCGAGCGTCAATGTTCAATCGGCACCGCAGTGCCGGCGCACTCTTGGTGAAGTCGTCGTAGTCCCCCTTTTATCTTGCCGAAGACGATTTCGATGTGGCAGATCAGCCCGTCCACGTGCTCCTTGCGCCCCGGGATCTTCAGATGGTCAATGCGCCAGCACAAAATCCGAGCCGCCCGCACCATGGACGCTGGACGTCTCGCGTTTCATCGCGAGCTCCTGGTCCCACCTCTCGTCGGCTGGATGCTGCATTCTGGCGAGCGCGCGACCCGGGCGAACTTCGCGGAGAAGACCCTGGGCCATCCTTGCAACGCGTGCCCGGCTTAATGAATTGCAGGCACTCGGTCCACTCGTTAGGAGCACTCGTAGCCAGGCACATGCCTAAGGACGGCGGCGCTGCCGGGCGGCAGGACGAAGTTCGACTCGCGGGGTTCCTCGCCCAGCTCATGCATCTCGGCGTAGGTCATTGCAGGAACGCCTTCTCGACGTCCACGGCGACTCACACCCAGTCCAGGCGGCGCGCCGCCTCTGAGGACAGCGCGCGCTGTGACGCCAGTTCCGCCGCCCCGGCGATCGTCTCCAGGGCTCTAGTGTCCATGTCGCGGACGCCTCTCAGCGCCATGCGGCACCAAATGATGCGAGGATCTTGCCGCCCGATCCCCTCCGGCGCTTCCCCTTTAAGGCATGTTTAGAGCCCAAAAAACGCGCCTTTGCGAGGATGCCTCTCGAAACATTTGAAGTCGACCCAGATGGTGAATTCCTCGGGGATAGCTGTGGCGACTTCCCCAGGCAGCCTCGACACTGCCTCTTCGGTCGCGAGGTCGGCGTCGCGCTCGCGGTCCCGACGGCGGCATGCAGTTACTTTGATCGCGGCTGTCTCGGAAGCGCCAGCGACATAGTCCCCGGACGGCACTTCGCTACAGCACAAGAGTGCGTCCACCCTGATATCCCAATACACTTCCACATGCTCTCCCCCTTCACTCTCCCCTTCTAGCGCGGCATAGTCGTCCACGGAAACACCTCGAAGGTAGTGGTGACACTGCGCGTGAATGCTCTGGCGCTGGTGCTGCGTCTCCACGCGCTGGGGCCATTCGCGTGGCACGCAAGTCCAGCCGCAGCGTGATCGACGGCAGCGGAGATCTGTAGCTCCTGGGCCAAATCCTCTGCCCCCTCGGTTTCCTGTCAGGCTGCCAACATCACCTGCTGGATGTGGCGACAAAAAACGCTGTCAGCCTCTTCGGGTCTGACCGACAAAACAGTTGGTGAGTCTCCCTCAGCGACGCTGACGGTTTGCTCGGGGAAGTCGATGACGTAGTCATCAAGCGCCCCGAGACTGGCGTGGGAGTTCCCACGACCCACCTCCCGGGAAACCCACGAACAAAAACCATTGGATTTGTTTTTGCGGTTGTCACCCATCCCGGGGGGGGGGATCTTAGGGGAGTTTCGGGGCCCGACACTTTAAAACAATACTATGTCTGAAAACCCCGCCCCCCCCCAAACAAAAAAATCTATAAAAAATATGTCAACACCAACAATCATGTTAAAACAGTTCGGAGTTATCGGCTTGCATACCACTCGACACGTATATCCCAAACCCTCGATACCCGCCCTCTTCGTCGTGGATCGTACCCCCTTGGGGGGTAGATACAAATTTCTTACCTGCAGAGCGTATTGCGTGCAGCCCCTGGGGCAGGGGAAGAGAGGACGGATGGAAAGAAGGGACAAGGGGGAATGAGGAGGATGGACCACGAGAGAAATTAGCAGGAGGAGAGCTAGGAGCAGAAAACACGTGGCAGAATCAGACGGGCAGATCGGGCTGACAAGCCCTTACGGGCGGGTCGGGAAAGCGGGCCCAGGCGGCCAGGTCGACAGGTCGACCAGGCGGGTTGCTGAAGCGAGCGCCCTGCATAAATCGCGAGGAAATCTTGAGCGCTAGCGCGATTACCAAATAAATCGTAGGGGAAATCTACCGCGAGAGACTGATTTCTGAGTGTCGAAGGCGCGGCGTCTGGATAAATCCAAAGAAACTCCCACAGGAGAGCTCGATTCTTTCATACATTGTAAGGAATCCCGCGCCCCAATTGCACACTTTGAACAAGTAGCAAACGGAACCGCTGTTGTCGTTGTGAACCGGGCGGATCGATCGTGAGTTTTGCGTGATTCGCCAGGAAATTTCTAAGTAAATTTGAAGTCAGCAGCGAACGCGGGATTCCTGCATGGCAAGAGCGCGGCGCCTGAGTAAATTGCGAGGAATTCTCAGGCGGGAGCGCGATTCTTTAGAAAATTGCAAGTGAGTCTCAAGCGGGAGCGGGGGACCGGAATAAATTTCAGGAAAATCAGGCGGGAGCCGTTGTTGTTGTAAACCGGGGGCCAACAACACAGTTTGAGGAAGAAAACTTTCCTGGATAAAAAACAAGGTGCGAGCGCCGGGAGGGGCACGTCAATACAAAACATACAGTGTGCACCAGAGGGGGGATCAACAATAACTATACTTCAATCGTGAGAATTCAACAACAACAACAAAACATGACTTTTCTTTCGGTTGTTTTTTGGGGGGGCTTCTGGGAGCGATCTGGCAAAACCCTCCATATCGCAATTCGGCCTGACCCCGCCGGGACCCCTATGGTGGGCTGTTATGTTGTTTTTCGAGTGGTTGTCGTGGGTTGTTCTGTGTTTTTTCTGGTGTTTTTCGGGGGGGAACCCCGGAAGAAAGAGAGATGTTTTTTCTATGATTGTCGGAAGGCCTGGGGCCCCTCAATCAGAAACGATATTATCTCTGACTCCCCCCTCCCCCGAAAAACCCGCAAAAATAAACCCAAGCTGTTTCTGAATTTGTTTCTGGGATTCTTCGGCCAACCCAAGCTGCAGGTGAGACCTCCGACAAAAACCCTCTAATACGGGTTTTTGTCTACTGTTTTTCTGGCATGTTTCGGAAGTGCCGGGGACCCAAAAATAAAAACAACACTATTTCTCCAAATCCCCCAAACAAAATCCCCAACTCGGCAATTTTCCTTTGGTTTTTCATGGGTTCCCCGGCCAGCCCAAACTCCAGGACTCTCTGGGGGGGAACTTCAGAAAACCATATAATTCCGAGGTTTTCTTTGTTTTTTTCGAGGGTTCCAGGGCCCCGCAATCAAACACAATATGATTCAGAAAACCTCCGGTGAAAACACAAGGTTTCTCCCGCCAGCCCAGGTTTCAGGATTCTCCGGGACCAAAAACCAATGAAACACCATTCAACTCGCAGGTTTCGGGGTTGTGTATGGACTTTTCTACTGTTTCGGGTTGTTTCGGTGGGTTCCGGGGGCCCACAATTA